TGCTGATTTGTTGTGAGAGAAAAACACTGTTCCTTCACTGAAAAATTCTGCTAATAAGTTCAAGCGATCCAACAAAACTATCGAAATCATATATACATATTACAATTTGAACCGCTATCATGCATGAAACTTGACTAGCACGCATGAACAAAGCTAATAAGAAACTGGTATAATAATATAATAAAGAACAAAGAGATGAATGTAAAAAACCAATTTGCATTGGGTCAATTATCAAATCAAAGAAGAAGTAGGCCCCAACTCTACAGCCCTAAGAACAAAAAAGGATAGTATCTGTAAAAAACCAATTTGCATTGAGTCAATTATCAATCAAAGAAGTAGCAGGCCCAAACTCTATAGCCTAATAAGAACAAAAAAAAGGATAGTATCTGAACAAGCTTGTTACGGAACGATACTAGAGCAAAGGTTCCAAATTAAGGAAGCAAAAAAAAGGACAATATCTGAAGAAACTAGCTACAGAACGAGACTAGAACGATAGCTTGGAAATTAAGGAAGCCAGACCTCATCTTAGTGAAGCTCCTAATCACACAGGCTAGCCAAATGGCAGTTGTATTGTAGGAACCAACACCTAGAAATCACAGATCTAATAATAAGAAAAAAATCAGTATATGTTGAGGACAGCTGGGAACACCTGAGGTCGACGATCTGGGACCGACAGTACCTCGGCCAGCAGCTCTATCTGGTATATGTTGAGTAGAATAAACCATACTACTCCTTATATATATAGCTGAAAAATCAGGATGGATAGGTGACAAGAGTGTTTTATTCTAGATTCATATGAGCTGCTATTCTTTGATGTTTATGTCAGTGATTTTTGTTCCTTGTAGTTTGCCTGCGGGATAAGAAATACCTCAGGCATACCTCAGGCTTAATGTTGAAGGTGTCCAATGATCTTCTCATGAATGCATTGTTGACGAAAGATTTATAAATATGTACAAGCTATGGTTTTTAATTACATGTTTATGTTTATGAGATTGTGATTGTCAGTAAAAAAAGACATCAGAGGTAAACAAGTTTAGCTTATGCAGCCAAAATTCAAACCCCAAGATGGTGAACCAAACTAGAATTAGGTAGAAATAATGTAGCAGTTGATAGTATTCTGAATTCAAATCCATTCTTCACTTCCATTGTGAGTTGAACAGGTCTTACCTACTTACTTACATACAAGCCCAATAAACTTTGAGAGCAATCATCAAAGTCTAAAAAATTAAGAGGGATCATATGACATATCTCATCCATTCGTAGCATGCATAACAAATGAATGAATTGCTATGATACTTCCATGTTATCTAAGCCATTGAGATGTCAAGCACTTTCAACTTCTGAAAAATAATGCTTAACATTTCTGGTCTCATTTAAAAAAAAGATATAAATGGATTTTAAATGTTTTGAAGGATCTGTTAGCATCTTGGCAAAGAGTTTCACAGTCATGTAATGCGTGACATGAAAGCGTGCTGTCTTAAGCATGGCCGCGTCATTCAGACAAGACAAGCATATGAATGTGTCAAGACCAAATAAACAGTGGTCCACACACAAACACAAACAGTGCGGTGTCTAAGCATACCTGTACCATTCGTACACCAATTTCACTCACAACTCAACTCAACTAAATTAACTAAATTCAACAAAACAACTCTAAACATCTCAGCTAATTGACATTTTAAGTGCAAATTCATATGCTTGTCGAACATACAAGTTATGAGCAGAAACTTAAACATGCAAGTCAAACATACTAACTTGCAAACAAAACTAAACCATACAAGTTATAAGTGCAAATTGAACATACAAGTTATGAGCAGAAACTTAAACATGCAAGTCGAACATACTAACTTGCAAACAAAACTTAACTATACAAGTTGAATATATAAATAGACCAAAACATCACTCACTAAGGATTCAGTTCCGGTGCTCTAACCGCTGTCACTCCTATCCTCATCAGTGGTTTTACCATTACCAGTACCAGAAGAATTAGATTCCTAAATAAAAGAACATAGTTAGCACACTAACTAATAAAACATGAAACATTTGGTTATCTGACTGCTACTTCAACTAAACTAAACTAAAGAAAGAAATTGCCAAACACACTTCTTACATCTTTATTAGAAGACTGCAACTCATAACTTGATTTGGACTTTTCTACTTCAGCAGAACTTTCTCCCTCATGAGCCATCTATAACCAAATGTATTTCATAAAAAAATTCAGAATCAGTTAATAAAAGAGGTCATAACTAATAGGATGAATCAGCTGACAGTATAATTCCTTGTAATTTCATAACTAATTAATCCAACCTAACAGAATATACAATCCAAAAAGAATCAACAAATACACAGATTGTTCAGAAGATCAACGGTGGTAGCCTATCAGTGGCCAATCCCTGGAACTCTGCTGCTGTCTGAGCAACATCTATCTAATCTATCACGCTCTTTCTCCTCATCAGGGATTGGCAATGTAGAGTAATAATCACCAATTCATAGCAACAAGCTGATGCCAATGTAGATTAGTCTTCCCTAGTCGCCAGTGAGGAAGGGATCTAAAATGCAGTAACAGATGCGGCCAGCTGCCGAGGTCGACCACGATGACTCGAACAGCACGGCCAACACGGGGGACAGAGGAGCAGCGAGAGGAGGGCAGTGGCGGACACCAGGGCCAAGACGTTGCACGGCGACGACGCGGGAGCCGGGGTCGGAGCCGAGGACGGTGAACCGGCGGCGCCTGCGCAGCACATCGAAGGAAACCGGGAACGACGAACACCATACGGATACAGAAAAGAGAAAACCTAGAAAACTACTCGACACGACCTCGAATCGAATCCTCCAACAATGCAAATCATGGCGAAACGAGAGAGAGATCTCAGCAATACCTTGCGACGAATTCCGGAGAACACTCACCGGCGAGGGCGATTTGCAAAAATGGGACTCGAAACATCGATCGTTTGACGCATGTCATCCACCCGAGTGTCATCGTAATCGAGGAGTCAAATCTTTCGAGTGTCATTTTTTTTCAATTTTTTCCACCGGGGACCCCTCGAATCGACTCCCGGCGAGGTCGCCCCGAAGAGGTGGCCGTGCAGGGCAGGGGAGGAAAGCTGGGACGAGAGGAGGAGCGGGGAGAAGAGGACGGTGGCAGTCAGCGGGACCAGACGACGTGCGACGCAATGGGGGCAGGGATTCCTCAAATCCAATCCCACCGAGGGCGCCCGAAGAGGAGAGCGACGGGCGAGATTAGACTATCTCCAACGACACTCAAAATACACCACTTTGGCTATACACAGTGAAAGCATTCCCACCCAAAACCTACCTTTCTCCAACGGTGAGAACACAAATCCCCTCCCCGTAGAACTATTCTTGAATCAGCTGATTTTGTGCATGAGATGGAAACACTGCTGCCATGGGAAAAAACCTTTTTCCAGCGGTGAGAGCATAAATCCCTCCCCGACATGGGGAGAGCTCGGCAACCGCCATGGGGAAGGAGCTCATGCATGGGGAAGGAGCCAGTGGCCTCAGCCATGGGAAGAGCTCAGACCGGGCAGGGGGAGCCGGACTCTTGCGCACGCCGGATCTGGGACCTCATGGGGAAGGAGCTCATGATGGGGCCTGAAGAGCTCGAGCCTCCCCTGGCTCATGCATGGCGAGGACCTCCACGCCGGCTGGATGCGTCGTGGAGAGAACGACCCCTTTTTTTTTGTTCTCTCTCTCTTCAAGGCCTTGTTTAGAGGAGGGACCTTCATCACATCAAATCTTTAGACACATCATGGGTATTAAATGTGGATAAAAAAAAATAACTAATTACATAGTTTGATTGTAAATTATTAGACCGCTTTTGAGCCTGAAGGCCATGATTGACCTCCAATTATCAAATATAAACGAAAATACTGGAGACTACCAAATCGACCCTTTTTTTGTTCCCATCAAACAAGGCCGAAGGCAAAATAGGTAGCTGATTTGCATACTCGGTTGGAGACATGTTTTCTACTGTGCGTCATTCATTTTGGGTATGGGTATCCTTATGCGTACTCGGTTGGAGATAGTCTTAGACCTTATTTAGTTGGTGAAACTTTTTGAAAATAGTATTGTAACACTTTCGTTGTTATTTGGTAATTATTGTCCAATCATAGTCTAATTAGGCTTAAAAGATTCGTTTCGTGAATTTCGTCTAAACTGTGTAATTAGTTTTATTTTTTATTTATATTTAATGTTTCATGCATGCGTTCAAAGATTCGATGTGACGAGAAATCTTGAAAAAATTTGTAAAATTTTAGAAACTCAACAGCCACTTAGGGGAAGATGAAGCGGAGCTGTTCAAGACCGCCCGCCCGCGTCCCTTCGTTGGGTTGTTGAGTTTTTCTGCGAGAGAAAATATTTCGAACGACGGAAAAGGAAAGGGGAACGAGACAAAAAAAAGGAAAAGAAAACGTGGTTGGATCGTTCGCTCAAATCGCAACCGATGAACGCCCGTTATATGGTTGTTTGATCGCGTAAATCTGTGCGCATTCATTCTAGCAATACTAGTACGAGCGTACGACCACTACGCAGTAATTCTTCTACACGGACACAAACCGAACGCCGTCCTGCCCGTTGTCGATCCCACATGTTCGTTGCCTCGCCTTACATTCACGGTCCCGCTTCAATGGACATTGTACTGCAAAGTGAACCGCGTAAGCACGTTCGCTTCGCTTGCTAGTGACGCCATGCAAAGTTATCAGGTCAAGTAGAGTGTCCATCGCCATACGTAAACTGTGTTGCAGATCAGACACGTCATCTACACAAGTTTATGCATTTTCTTTTCGCTCCTTTTCTTTCACTAAAAAACGGTGACGCCACCTACACAAGAACACCTCACTAGCTCACCGAAGCATCACCGGGCCATGAACAAGAACTAGCCGGCACCACACCAGCTACATCAACAAAGGAATATAACCAATCTCATCCTCACCTCACTTTTCCTTGCTCTACAGCATAAGTTTCTGCACCGGCACGATTCGTCAGCCGTTGACGCTGGAGCAGGTCCGCCGGATCTCGCCGTCGGCGCCGGTCTTCACGCCGAGGCTGGTGAGCCTGGCGTACGAGCTGGCCCAGCTCGCGAAGAAGCCGTCCTGGCTCTGCGCGAACTCTGCCACCTTGGCCCTCGTCGTGGCGTTCTGCACCAGCACGGCGTCCGTGCGCAGCAGGCCCCGCCCGTCCAGCAGGTTCGCGAAGTAGCGGTTGTCGAAGACGGACGCCGACCCGGAGTCGCAGTCCACGGCCGTGCCCGCCGACACGGTGCCGTTCGCCGCCGAGCACGCCTGGATCAGCTCGTTCGCGTAGTCGGCGTTCATGGACCCGTCGATGGGCGTCATGCTCCCGTTCGCCACCTGGAACCGCTCCCGGAACGTGTTGCAGTGCGCCGACCCGATGGTGTGGCCCCCTGCACGCGCGCGCGCGCAAGCCGTCGGTGAGATGCGTCCACAGTTTCGCATCACTCAAAGCAGTTTTCGTCTGTACATACCTGAGAGGGTGACGAGATCGTCCAGGGTGAGCCCCTTGGCGGTGAAGCTGGCCGCCATGGCGTCGACGGAGAAGCCCGTGTCGATGATGTTTCTTCGGACATTGGATGCCAATGAGACGAGGCCGTCTCGTCTTCCCAGGGCGACAGGCACCGCCGGTCCTCCAGTCTGGTTTTGGAACAAAAGTCCAGACACAAGCATCTCAGTTAGTGAGTTGTTCAAAATTGTCACGGGACTTAAGTAATGGACATAGGGGGGCTTTCTCCCAAACATAAGATGGCAGACATGAGACTAATTTAGGGCCTGTTTGGTTTGCAAAATTTTTGGTGAAATACTACTATAGCATTTTCGTTGTTATTTAGCAATTAGTGTTCAATCATAGTCTAATTAGGCTTAAAAGATTCGTATCGTGGATTTCATCTAAACTGTGTAATTAATTTTATTTTTTATTTATATTTAATGCTTCATGCATGCGTCCAAAGATTTGATGTGACGAAAAATCTTGGAAAATTTTGTAAAATGAAGTGGAACTAAACTGGCCCTTAATGAAAACAGCATGCAGCTGTCCCTATACCTGTACTCTAGGAGTACGGAGTATTTGGACCCTAGGAGTAGTATGCAAAGCTGTATCTTCTTGCAGATGTTTGGTCACATCATATCATATATGGGACCAGAAACTATCAATTCATTGATTGCGTAGAGATCCAATCCCTTCAGCATTTATTAACGAGGGATTCTGTGTTGGCCTATGTTCAGCAAAGTAGTTAAGATTTGTACTATTGTTTCTACGAGATGTCTCAAGTTGTATGAGTCATGCTTATCCGTCGTGATACGGTATTTTTCTCTCACAATAAAACAACATCAGTCAGCTTATAAGCCACATAAACGATTCAGTATTTTTCTCTCACAATAAAACAACATCAATCAGCTTATAAGCCACATGAACGAAGCGAACAGGGTGTTAAGCACCAAGGTAGCTATTGGAGCATTCACAGTTTTGAGTGAATTGTAGCAAAAGGAAAGGCAAAGCTGCAGCAACTGTATACTATATAAGAGGTTTGAGCTGATTGGAATGCTACTTACAAACACAACAGCATCTCTTGAGGCGAGGACGACAATGTCACTGCAAGAAACAGTCGCAGGGCACACGACTTCTAGCAACCTCTTTGCTGCATCGATGACATTGAACCCACCAAGTGAGAGATTTGCAGGATCAGTCCTTTCCGTACCGTTACCTTGTATCAACACCGATGCATCGCATCCCTGAGATCAAGAAAATTGACACTCTTTAACCTGAATCGTATTATGTCAGTGTGCACACTGAAAGTTTCCACAAAGAGTGAAGATGCACTATGATAGCTGATGCCTTCAGTCACATGCAAGCTTTCAAAGACTACACTGCTGTTTGGCACCCAATACTAGGCATTAATGATGTTTGAAGATCTGGGTCTGACTAACTGTTTGTGTTTGGTTACCAGATAGCCTACCATTCTTGAACTTTTGAGTATGCACGTGATTAGGAATTTAGGATTAAGATAAATGGAAGCAGGATAGATAATGCAAAGATTTGAGCAATGGCGTTATCAGAGGACAAAACAGTTTTCTTGGTCTAGTTTCAGGTAACAGGCAAGTGGTAACGTTTAACTTGCTGCTACAATTTGTACTTGTTCATTTCTTCGGGTCTGCACAATTTGTACTGGGAAACAGAAGTTGCATATTTTCTGCTCAGCACTCTGAACTACGGGTGTCAAAAATCATTGAGCAAAGCAACCTGAGATAGGAATTGCACCTGACAAAAAAAGCTAATCACGAAAATATCTCTGCATTGCAACCTGAGATGTAAACTAGATCTATATTTTTTTGCATGCAAAAAAGCTAATCACGAAAAAATCTCTGCATGATCAGCTAGATCAGGCACGTCCATTTCACTAATTGTTTGGAAGCAGAACAAAAGAATCCTCAGTTTGCAACAATGCAGTGTTCTATTTGCCACTCGAATCAAATGCAAGGATTCAGACACAGACAGTCCATTCCATACCTCGACGAAGCAGTCATGGAAGACCAGCCTAAGAAGCTTGCCGGGGATGGAGGGGTCCAGGGTGGATGCCGACCTAACGACATCCCTCACCGCCAGCTCAACGCCCGGGCAGGACTGCGCGTAGAAGCTGGGCGAGAGCTGGCCCAATGTGGAGGACATCGTCGGCGTGGAGTTCGACGGAGGCTGCGGCGGAGCAGGTGGTGGCGGTGAAGCCGCCGGTGATGGAGACTGTTTCGGAGCCAAGGGCGGGGATGGCTTTGGAGCCGTCCGAGGAGCTGGTGGTGCCGGTGTGGGAGGTGGATGAGACGAGGGCCTTGGCGCCGGCGCGACGGATGGGGATGGTTTCGGAGCCGGCGCCATTGCAGGTCGAGAGGGTGGCTTTGGAGCTGGCGAGGTTGCAGGTGGAGGTGACGCTCTTGGCACCGGTGGTGTCGCCACTGGCGGAGACCTCGTTGGAGCCGGCCTGGGAGACGGTGACGGCTTCCCAGCTGGCGCCGCGGGTGGCGGAGACGACGGTTTCGCGGCCGGGGTTGGAGGCCGTGACAGCCTCGGAGCTGGCGCCGCAGGCGATGGGAACGACGGCCTCGCCGCCGGCGCCGTCGGGTGCCGCGGCGCGCTCTGAGCCGGCGACAGAACCGGGGACGGCGACTGCGAGGCGGCGAGCTCCAGCAGCGCCGACAAGACCAGCATTGAGCAAACGACGGCGCCGCCGAGCCCCCCGCCCATCTTGCGGCCGAGGACAAGGAGAGAGCGAGGAGCGCGTCTTTCCTAGAGCCACGAGAAGCTGCGCCTGTGAGAGCGAGCGAGATAGCGATGGGGGCTGCGACGCGGTGTCGGGAGAAAATCTATCGTCTCAGCTGGTCCTGGTCTAGCTCTAGCATTAAGGGCGCGGGCGCGCGGCACGCCGCCACGAGCCCACGAGCCACCACGAGGGCCAGGCAGTGCGAGCGCAAGCGGCACAAGCTGCTGCGGTAGCACTGCCAGTGTTCGCAAGACCGTCCCCTGGCAGGCCTACGCGCTGCTCGTCGCCTCGTCCACGGCCACCGCCCCGCCGACCTTTTCTCCCCCTCCGCCAACTAACAGCGACGTAGGAAGTAAATACCGCCATTAATGGCGCACCTATAGCCCCTCCGCTCGCTCGGATCGCCATCAATAAATGAAACACTACCTCCCCATCGTGCTCTCACCCGCGGCTGGAGCCCTGCCTGCCCTGCGCCGGAGGAAGCTGATCGGGGAAATCCGAGCCGTCGTGGTAAAAGCATCGGGGCCCAGCCGGTGACGCGTGAGAGCAGTTATTACACACCAGCGAGGCAGCGAGAGAGGTAGAGAAGGAAGAAGTTGCACGGCAACACGGCGTCGGCGGCAGCAAAGCTCTGCTTGGAGTCGCTTGATTGTGAGATGATATGGGGTTAGCGCCTCTCGGTGGAACCAGAATGGCAGTGCTGTGCGACGGGCCGACGGAATTAAGCGGGGCACGGCGGCGATGGGCCCCCGCAGGCCGCAGCCCCCTCCGTGCCTGCGCGCTGCGTGCACGCGCATCACGGTTCACGGACGCTGCCCATAACTCCGCTTGTGTCTGCTGGATAAGTACGTTTCGCGTTGGTTGCGCGGACGACGTACAGCACAGATCGCGCTAGCTAGCGACGTGCGTGCCCCAGTGGCAGACAGAACAGGATCCGCTCCTCGTTTCAGGGCATGGGCCAGAAGCCCAGGGCCGCGTTTAGTTCGGCCACCGAATCGGCGCCGCCGGATTCGGTGCGCACGGCAGCTACTGTAGCGTTTTATTTTTATTTGGTAATAATTGTCTAATCGTTGACTAATTAGTCTCAAAACGTTCGTCTCGTAAAGTACAACTAAACTGTATAATTAGTTTTTGATTTCGTCAACATATAGTACTCCATGACATTTACCGCAAATTTGATGTGATGGAGAATCTTTTTTTTTCATAATGCCAAATTCTAAAATTTTGGGTAACTAAACATGGCCCAGAACGGCTACCCCCAAAACACAGATCGATGCCGCCCGAGTACGTCGATAGCGGTACGGTACTGGTACCTGATAGGGAGATATTCCAAACCATTTCTCCAAATACACTGTTTATTCAAAAACACAGATACACGGATACGTCGATATAGATTTTTTTTTAATTTTAACACTTTTTTAAACTAATTTTAAATCTAACACTGCTTGTTTTTTTATTTCCAAATCTAACACTTTTGGCCGCGCCTATTGCCATGGCGCGGCGAAATGCCTATGTCGCGCCATGCATGGTGGCGCGAAGAGAGGGCTGACGTGGCGACGATCGGGACGCTGACTGGTGACGTGGCAGGGTCTGTCGCGTCACCAATCTTGACGCGGCAGAGAAGAACAGAGAGCGACCGCTGGGATCAATGTGACGTGATGGGCTAGCACATCGCCTACTCGTGGAAATGATTTCGCTTTGGAAAATAATCTTTTTCTTGCAGCGGAGGACATGAGCCAGATGGCAATGGCGGATCAGATGACACCGGTTTCCCTTGATGGCTTTCATTACTGCGGTTACCATGAGTAGGCGATCATTACTGGCTCATGTCCTGGTTGTTGTACATCCAAGCTCGCATGGCGCCTCAAACCCATCTTTGATTGTTGTACATCAAAGCCCACATGGCCGGCGACGCTACGATGTTATGTTTATTGTTTCTTCATGTTGTATAAGACTTTTGGATGTTACGACAGATAATTTTCATATATTGCAATAGATGATTCATGTGTCACATCCCATTTCTCACCTAAACTTCTTCCAAAAATGTTAAATGTGCCCGTTGCTGATGCATCGTTTGCTTTCTACGTTACATTAATTTTCCTCCCGTTAGGCATAATGTATATCTAATTAAATAACAAATTCTATGTATCTGGACAACATCAATTCCAATCCACGCGTAGCTACCGGCGATTGCTGCTCATTTCTCTTTGTAAGTGGTGAGATTCAATAGCTCTCTTCTCCTAATCCTCCTCCTCAACTTCTTTGTCCTTTGATGGAACTGTCTCCTTAAATTTTGTACCGGTACCAAGTTTGGTGAAGTGGTGTCTGTTCATGTTCTTGAACAGCTACAAGCTAAAATTGCTACCGGTACATAAATTTCTGGAGATATTCCAGTTCCATCAAAGGACAAAGAAGTTGAGGAGGAGGATTAGGAGGGATGTTTCAGCTATTGAATCTAACTTGAACTTAGAAAGTATGTAGCTTACTTGATGGTCTAATTGCTACTCACTCTATTTCAAATTATAAGATGTTGTGTATCTAGATACATAGAATTTGTTATTTAATTAGATATACATTATTTCCTAAATTTATGAGAAATGGGATGTGACACAAAATCATCGTATTATATCAATATATTTTTAATTTTAACACTTTTGTAACATCCAAAATCTTATACAACATGAAGAAACAATAAACATAACATCGTAGCGTCGCCGGCCACGTGGGCTTTGATGTACAACAATCAAAGATGGGTTTGAGGCGCCATGCGAGCTTGGATGTACAACAACCAGGAGATGCGAGGCAAAGGCTTCTGTTCGCTTGAACTTATCAACACGGCTTATCAGTCATTGTACAATGTTTTTCTCTCACAACAAATCAGTGAATATTACTTTTCAGCATCAGCATAAGTCAAATTTGTGCGAAACGATATGGCTCCAACTGTAAGCCTGGGCCCATCACTGAAGGGAGCTACGAGAAGGGAGTAGCTCCTTGCCGGAGGAGAAGCCATGTCATCGGTCAAAGCTACACTACGCCATCCTGATCTCAATCGATGCTCATAAGGGCTGATGTGCCATGCGAGTTCAAGCACATGAGACCATTCGGTCTAGCGACGCTTAAGCTCTCCCAGTTCCATTTTATTATTTTGGTTCCCTTTCCTTTAGATTTTGATCCATATATTATTAAATTTATTTATTTATTTGTATTTTAGAATATATCACTTGTTATTCTTAAAAAAAAACTCGATCCACGGGGGTATAACAGCCCTCGGGCATTGTGCTTAAGAAGCAGACATTCTCATGTAGGTCGAGAAAACCTCCGAACCTCTGCCCCACCCATACACAGTGGCACCGTAGCTCCTGTGAGACTGGACTGACCTTAAACCTGTGCTTTGGCGCGGGACAGACGATGGGATTTTTTTCAACGCACAGATAAACTGCGCCTCCTCCGGCCAATAAATCCGCCCCCAAAGGGGTTGTGCAAAGCGCACAGTCAGACCAATTGGTCTAGCGTTCGCTTGCTTGTTATTCTTTTTTTTTATTTTCAAGGATATTATAATACCAAATCTAGTATTTCTCCTAAATCTGGAATATGGTTATTATGAACGTAGAACAATTATCTTATAAAGTCAGAACGTTATATACTGGACTTAGAACATCGCATCAACTGAATAAAAGAAAGTGTTCTATCTTCATCAAGAAAATATGTATTAGCAAAATTTTATTTAAATATATTCCATATATGGTCTTGATTTGATGTAAAAAATGGTGTAATCAGAATGATCGATTTTACTATTACGAATTTCTAATTTAGCCCTCTTATGGATTGAGCTGGTGACACATGAATCAGATCCATGGCAGTAGCTTCGTTAGTCGCCACCAGGTAGTAGCCTAGTAGGGTTAGGGTTGGGATTGTGTCTTGCATCAGCGGAGGGGTCGCATCAGCGATAGATTGGTGGACGCTAGGTCCACCGAATTTTCTTCCCTAGGCAGCAGCAAGCGGCGGTTGGGCAGCTCTTAAGCCAGGCTCAGTGGCAAAGTCAGAATATAAATTTAGAGGAGAAAGAGGCCAAATATTAATAGAGTTGTCATTTACCCTTCAATTACATAGTAAACTAGCAAGATTATTAAGGATTGTAATGAAAAGTATCTTCAGTCACTGGCCGGACCTGAGCATCCTAGGAACAGAAACATGGTTCCACGTTCTCCGCTCCAGGAAGACGAACGTTTTCGATTCCACGTTATAAAATATACCCTAAATTTCCGTTAACAGAACGGAAAGATGGCTGCTAAGGCCCTCCGCAATGTGCTAAACAGGCCCAAACCTGTCTCTCCCTTCCGCATCACCGGAGGGTCGCCATCAAAGATTCTAGATAGATTGGTGGACGCTAGGTCCTTAAAACAATTTTCTTCCGTGAGGCAGCAGCAAGCGGCGGTTGATAATAGGCAGCTCTTAGCCATAGCTCAGTGGCAAAGTCAGAATATAAATTTAGAGGCAGAAAGAGGCCAAATATTAATAGAGTTGTCACAGCACCAGCTTCAATTACATAGTAAACTAGCAAGATTATTAAGGATTATAATGAAAAGTATCTTCAGTCACTGGACCGGTGAATGACCTTTAGCATCCTTGATGGCGGCCTGGGAACAGGAACATGGTTCCACGGCTGAGTTCCACGTTATCAGTTCCAGCGAGAAAAACGTTTTCGATTCCACGTTATAAAATATCCTACCCTCAAACTAAAAAAGTGACTATCTAGGTCCCTCATCTATTGAACGGAAAGGTCCAAAACTAATCACCAACATCCGACGTGGCACGCACAATGCTCCTAAAGTGATGCCCAAAAAAACCCCGCTTTCTTTTTCTTTCTCACTCTCTCCCAATCTCCTCCCCGACACCCCCGGCTCGCCGCCTAGATTGGTCGATCACGGGCGTCCTCTCTCGATGCGGGTCTGCATCGACTACCAATGACATCCAACTTTCAAAG